GCTACACCTTCACTTTTAATGCTTTCTCAGTATAACTGAGTGCTGGATGCACATTTATCAGAGCTGCTTTCCAGAGTGGATGATGATGATGTTCCAGAAATGCTTTATGTCCTTTATTAACTTCAAAACTGGCTCCAGTAAATTTCATTCTCCGGGAAGTCATAACTTTCCTGATTTCTCCAAAGGAAACTTAAACTCATAAACGGGGATTAAAGAGTTCGGTGATGAATTTATCTCTGGAGTCACTGCGAACTTGGTAAAAGCAGTGATTTAAAAACACGAAGCCATCGTGCTTTACTCAGCCCCCCAGATTCAAATTATAAACCATAAACCCAGTTTCCTCATTAGTTTAACATTTCGAATGTTTTCATGTTTGGGGTCAATCCCCCGCCCTCTGCTCCCTCTGTAGGTGATGTACTGCAGCAGCGAGTGTCGACAGGCAGCGGCAGATCAGTACCATCAGGCTCTGTGTCTGGGTGCTTCTGAAGGAGATCCTGATCACCCCATCAACAAGCTCAAAGATGCATGGAGGTGAGGAAGCATTTTAAAAACGTTCATCTCCTGAGAGCGCTGACTTTCACCCCAATAACCCACCACTGCTTTCTTTCAGGAGTATGCATTATCCCCCTGAGACCTCCAGCATCATGCTTATGGCCAAAATGGTAGCTATGGTTAAACAGGTGAGACTGTTCCTCTGATTTATATTCAAGTGTTTGTACTTATGCTCAGTATTAGAGATATAATACAAAGGAACATGATATGCTGCACCTGATTAGAGTTTCCTTTTTTAAAACAACAACTCTGGATTGCTAATGTTTCATTTTTAAATTAAATGATGTGAAATTATTGCTAGTTTGAAATGAACTTTGCTGCGATGCAGGTGCTGTAAACAAGAAAAGCTACATGTTAATTTTTGAAAGGTCACAGGTTCATTAGACTAATGTTTGCAGACTGACAGAAAACAAATTACAGTGATGTGTGTGTTCATTTTAAAAAGTCCTGGTTATTAGTTTCTGAAAACTC